CATATAGGTACGCTAGAAATATACTGTACCTTACCCAAGACCCAAAACTGTACCGTACCAAAAAGGATACTACCTGTTATTTTAAGTATATTTCATAAAAAAAATTATATCGATTTTAAATAGGTAGTTATTGACAATACTTTCATTCGAATGTTGAAAATTTCATCACGGCTAAAATACTTAGACAATTGATACATGATAATCGGCAACATGCATAACCTGGCACAGATTTCGTAAATGCTAATTACGTATAAGTATATGATTTATTTAATTATTTAAATACTCTATTTTTATAGTCAATGAGGAACAAAATGAATAGCTCTTATCTAGCAAAAATTAATAATTTATGTTCTCAAAAAAACATTAATTAAAATATTTTCATATATATTATGAGAACGTAAACTTAAATTTTACATGCTTAGGTGTTCACAAAAAGAGAATATAATTTTTAAATGCCGTTTCTCAAATTTTTTGAACATTATATATCTAGCACTGTTACCAATTAATAATCTTCTGCCCTATATATACCTAACAAAAATTCCTGATTTAATATACACAATGAAAAAGTATAAATTTGTAACTTTAATTATATATCTAGTCTGACTCTTCCTGCTATGCGTCGTTTATTAATTCTCGCTAACTCGGAATAGGCATGTGTCATTTGTGAATCAATGAGCAATATATCTTGGGAATTGATATGGGTTTTACGATTAATTGAAAAATATTTTATATAGCAATATTTATAACAATAATAATTAAACGCTAAAAAAAAGCAAATACAGCATTTTCATTGATTTTTTTTTGGTTATTTATTTACTTTAAAAATTTATTACACGAAATGAAAGATAAATATGTCTTTTTTGAAAATTATCATTTTTAATATAAATAGCAAATTTCCCTTAGAAAATTTATTATTATCAAAAGAAAAAAAAAACCTATGAGAATAGCTCCACAATTTGCTAACTTGAACTAATAATAGGTGTAACTCGATAATAATAAGTACTTCATTCTATATCAGTGATGGTAAATGACTGTCATTTGCTCAAATGGCTAATGACCTAGAACTACCTTAAAATGATTGGTCATTATGGTCATTCAAATTTTAAGCCATTTGTAAATGACTCATGACCAAATGACTGCAGTCATTTATAATGACTGAAGTTATTTGGATCATTTGAGTCGTTTTCCATAATTTAATTTTTATTAAATGTGAATGAAATGCATTTATAATGACAACCGTTCATGAATTTGACTAGTTTACATTAACTAAGATTAATCATTTGACCCCAAAGATTTAGATTCAACATAATGTCATAAGATAAGATTAGATGAAACCAGCGTTCATTTTTCACGTGCGCAAAAGTGTGCGCACGTGTGCGATCCAATCAAAATTTTAAATAAAGCAATTTGATTGGATTCGCACACGTGCGCACACTTTTGCGCACGTGAAAAATGAACACTGGATGAAACTTATCGAATATATATAAGCGTTACTTAAATTTTTTACTTGGAATCACATACAAACCATTGCAAACCCACGAGTATGGTCTTTGTTTACAAATTTTGTTCCCGGTTTTGCACGATGATAATGTCACGCAGATATTGTATTTAGTTTTTTAAATATTTAGTTAAGAAGTATTAGATTATCAATGAATAAATGCGGTCATTTAAGATTTCAGAATGACAATAACTAGCCACTATTCATTTTGGTCACGTGGACCATTTCAGGTCATCTATCAACACTGATCTATATATATCCAACATAATCATATAAATAATACTAGAATACGGCATTAGCTCTAGTGCATTTGATTGTAATAAAAATAACCCGGTTTGTCATCCCTAGCCGGTTCTGGTCAGGTGACAGTAAAATGCCTTGATTATAGTGGTTTTTGGAAGAATTCATAGTGTATTGCAAGAATCAGATACTAATAACTTGGTTGTTCGTTTGTAAGAAAAAGGTGCAGAAAAAATATATTATAGGTCCTTGCAAAGACTTTTGACAATCAAGTGAGTGTGTCTTAGATAATAGGCACCATGGCTGCTGCTGCAGTGCACTGCAAGTGCAGACGCAGGGCTCTAGGTGACTCAAACTTTACATTGCTAAAATCTTTGCACTGCAGCGGCAGTCTGATATTGCCGTATGCTAATTAGTGTGTCCACTTAGTCGAGTATGCCGCTACAAAGGGATTACATAATAGTAATATTGTATAAATAACTTATAAAAATCTTACTCTACTCCCATTCCTAATTCTGCATGCCGGGTTTCAAAATTAAAATTAAGAAAATCTTATTTTATTTTTTTAGTCAATAATTCGAATAGCAAAAATATTATTTGAAAATCCAATTTATTTTATGAAATGCACAATAGTTTGTTAATTTTGAAACTCCCTACTAGATCAGCTTGAAATAGGATAAATTGACTAAACAGTTAATAGGCTAATCTAAATACCTCATTTGTTGAATTATCGACTATATTAATACAAATAAAAAGAAATTAGTAGTACTCATAGTGCTTTAAATACCTCATGCGATAAATTAGAATTAAATAACTTGTCTTTATTTTGAATGATTGTTATTGACAAAGTTGGCATGAAACAAAATAATAGAAAATACTGTATTAGAAGGGTTTGACAACACCACACTGGATAATTATGTTAAAATAACAGATCATTAAAAGCAGAAGGTTAAGCTATTTAGGGCATTAGTAGTATCGGTATTAAATTATTCAATTCTTAAATACAACCGGGCTAACTGGATTGATTTATTAGAAATGATCTGGTTTATGACCTAGTGATTAAGTTTTTATGCCGGGTCCAATCTCTGATTTAAACAAACAAATAAATAAAAAAGTTTATTTGTGCCATTTGACTCAAAATTTTGCAAGAAGATTTGACGAGAATAAGATCTAAAGCACATTTTCATTTAGTTTTGCCTTATTTCAATCTTTAGATAAATTACTGGTTTTTGACTTTTATAATAGTGGTTAGCTTACGTAGCGTCGCCTAGTGAAAGTGGTAGCCATTGAGTAATGACCAATCATTTTATAAATAATTATAAGATTGTGAAATTTGGTTCTGCTGCAATTGTGCTTATTTTAGGCAAAATGTGTTGTTGAGATTTTAGAGAAGAGTGTGACTATTTTTTATGCTAGCATTATTGACAATAGAGATTTTTAATCATAAATTTGACTTTACTGGAGTCCCTATTTGTTTTTCATATTGCATTATTTCAATTCTAATTAATCATAGCCAAAAATACCCGAAAATTCTATTCATTTTGTGTCAAAAGTATTAATATAACTCTGTCACTAATGTTAAAATAGAAATGATAGTTTTTTATCCTTCCCAATCCACAAGATTAAGCATTTAAGATTTTTAGTATCTGACATTAAAGTAAAAAATACCCATCTTGTATCTGGTATTTTCAAGTTTTCAGATTCTGGCAAAATCATAATCAAAGCTACTGATATTTATTATTCAAAATCACCATCTTTGTGTTTTACCATGCTTAAAGCTTTTTCTTTACTTTATCTAATAATTGCTTAATTATTAACATTATAACTGATAATTTAATTCTATCACTTATTAGTTTTCAAAAATCTTCTAATAAGCATGATACTATCTCTACTTCTAATTATTCAAATTTATTTTCAATTATTTAAAAATAAACGAAATTAGATAATATATATATATATATTGAGAGAAATGGTAATGTTACAAAATTGAATAGTTATTTATATATGTTATAGATAAATTCAGAATGCTGTGAATTCTAAATCCACTTAAGTAGATTCAGAATCAATTTAAATAGATTTTGAATCCCAAATCAACATAAGTAGAAATATAATTTTTAAAAATGTAAGCAATATAAATTTCGATAATAAAGAAATAAAGAAATAAATCATCGATATCCTTATTTCACTTGTCCATCCTTGTGTTGTTTTCTGTGTATCGCATGTTTGACATCAAGCTCTTGATGTGTTATATCAATTACAATTTGCATATTTTCGATATCGTTTATTTCTTTTGTGGTCAAACTCATCAGTCATAATAAACGTTAACGTTGATTCACAATCATATAACATTGCATATAACACAACCATTATAATGCACAATAAAATTACTAAAAAAATCGCTTAAGCTAAATTTACTGTTAGAATGCAGTAGCTTAGGAATTGATCTAGCTTTTGGTTTCAAAATTAACAAATAATGGCGCAAAATAGGATTTTCAATAGCATTTTTATTATAAATCGAATAAATAAAATAGAATTCTCTGATTTAATTTTGAAATCCATTATTGAAGAATTTAATCACAAATATTTATATTTAAAAACCGAACAAAAGTTCTTTTACATTGGTTTTCGGTTTACAAATAATAAATATTGCTTCTTTCTTAGGGCCAATATTTAATGCTAAGCAAAATTAAAAAAGTAGAATATGATTAATATAATAAAATCTACCCAAAGCATCGAATATAAATTATTTTTACTAAAATAAAATCATTAATTCTATATAAAAAAGAATCAGTATTTTATGATATTCTTTTACTTTTTTCCTCTTACCTATTCCGAGTGCGTTATTTTGATAGTACCCTTTAATCATAATAAGAATTGAAAAAAATGGACCGGAACTAGGTTTGGTACTAAGTAAACCTACTTGTCTCAATGTGAGGAACAACTTTTGTTAGGATTCGAAAGTTAGGATTACTTAATACTAAACTTAGTTCCGGAGCACTTTTTGTTTCTTTACTTTTATTGAGAAGCGCGTTGATTTGGAAGCGCAAATTCGAGACCGCATATGCTATTTTAGGAGGTTCTGAATTTTGAAATACCGCCCAGAGCGTTATTCCGAGACTATACGGTATTTTTTATTTTTTTTTTGAAAAGGCTTAAAAAAGTTCCGACATTTCTTAAAAAAATCATTACAAAAATTATATTAGCGCCGCCAGAGAAAACCTATCTATCATAGAGGCCTTAAATTTATTACTTACCGAATTCACTATCTGATTTTTTAAAAATGCGACCAGCAAATTATAAATTTAAAATCCTGGTGACAGGCCTTTCTTGCTGACACCCATTTATTAACAATTCTACCAATTTTTACAGTGAACCTCTTGTTGCGACTGGACTGAAACAAACAAAGGCTGGGTTACTTTAATCTTCAATCCATAATAGTCTGGGCTCAGTTTAGATTACGGTCGGTCCTAACTCATAAAAACCGATTAACTAATAAAAAAGCAAGTAAAAATAATAAGCATTTTCACACATACCAAATAATAGGCGGGTAATGAAGATTTTTATCAGCATTTTCCAAAATGTTGAGAAATAGCAAAATTAGTATAGGTGGTTCTTAATTAATGGGGTTCTTTATAGTTCTGTAGTTGTTAGGATAAATTATATTAGCAACTATATTAGTAAATACCCCGATTTTATTAAAACCAAAGTGTATTGTGGTTATTTGATATATATTTTGTACATTTAAATTAAATTTTTATCAGATCCACGTCAATATAAGTTGTAACTGAAATCTAAATAAACAAGAGTGATAAGTGAATACAATTTCTACTTAACTGTTAGTATATGGATTTAAATTAACGATTATCATAATCAATGAAATAATTTGTCTGCATTCACTAAAAGTCGTTTTATTAAAAGATAACATTTTTTTATATGATCGAACACAATATGAAGACTTTAGAAATACTATGCACGTATCGAATTAAATATGATTGAAATTTTTTCTTAAAACTAAACAATTCTCTGCGTTTGATTCTATTAAAATTATGTCACTAAGCAATATATAATATAGTTGTAAATGTAAAAAGACAAAAGTAGATAGGAGCCACTCAAATTAAAATAACTTATTTTATTTGATATCTAAATGCTCACATCTTATATTTTACCTAAGGTACTTAATATGATCAAGTTGATCATAATAATGGAAAATATTTCGCTTTCTATGGTAAAACCCAATAAGGACAGAAAATGGTTGATTTTTCCAATTTCTTAACAAACTTTGTCACTATTTTAGACAAATTAAATTATTAACATAGCTTATAGTAATAGGCTTAAATTTGATATAATTGTTCATGTAACAGAAAAGATTGTGTTTAAAAATACAGTCACTAATGCGTTTATGTTGATTTAAATTCGTGATCGGACGTTAGTGATATCTTATATCCGGTACCTACTGAAGATATAAATAATCATTACATTTTAAATTAAGTAAAATGAGTAATATACTGTATAAAGAATAGAATGAAAAATAAAAGTAGTAGCGTAGTAAAATTTCATGATTTTACACTAATACGTATATTAACAATCAGACTTATCAAACTTATGAGTATAAAGAGAATCATATTTGTAAAAATGTTAACTATTAATGATGTCGAGGCTATTACATATATCAAGTATTTCGGCATTAATATTAGTGTTTTATTCAATTTAATACTACCGAAAATATTCAAAGTTCTTATAAAGTAAAGTACGTAAGATACTTTTGAAATTTTTGAATAATTAAAGGTAACCAACGTAAAATTTGCAATTTCCTCAATTAAAGAATAATTTAGTTCGACTTTTAATGTAAATTAATGTAAATATCTAACTTATTATAGTCCATGTTCGTTAAAAAACCTTAAAGTTTTCAAATCGTTTTTATATTCAAAAATAAACCTTCAAACTCATTAAAATTGCTTTAATATTATTTTTACATCATTAAGTATATTTGTTTAAAAATTTTTAAATAACTCTTTCGATACTTGTTCATAATATTTAAAAATTCGATTATCTATAAAAAGAGTTATGGAATAAATCGAGTTTATTTAAAATTTTTTCATTAAATAAATGCATAATCTACCTTTTTTTTTTTAAAAAAAAAAATAATAATAATAATATAAAAAAAAGGATCGTTAAATAAACAATATATTCTCTAAAAAAATTTGATTATAATACAGCATAATAGAATAATTGAATTACCTGACATGTACATCGATTTAAAAATGAAAAAAATTTTCGCTTTTATCCTCACTTAATCAAATTAACTTTTCTTATAAATTGAATAAAATAGAGCTAATCTATTTATTTAAC